GGACGTCGGCATCGGGTCCAGGCAGTAACAAGTAGGGGGAAGGGGCACTTGAAAAGACTTGTCACATGCAGCTGTAGCGCCATTTACTGGAGGGGGTGGAAGGGGGGGGGGGGGGGGGCGTTTAACATTCATCGTTGCTTTGGTCGAAAATGATTGCAGCACACGAAACACGGAACAGGTGACATCTCATCTGCGAGGGACAGCAAGGATCGAAAGGAAGACCATCGTTGATGCCTGAAGAAAGAGAGGCCTGACATGTCATTGACACCCAGCGGTGAGCATCCGCCGTAGTCGATGCACTCAAGTTAGAATGCCACCATATCGCTGTCCAGCCCATCGCCTCATGACACGCGTTGACGCATGTCGGCCACTGCTAAAAACGGAAGAAAGAAAAAAACTTTCCGCGGTAGCCCCGGTTGCATGTGAGTGCATGCATGCCCACGTTATGTGCCGTTCGTCTCGGACGCGAACGCTTCTCCTCCTAGAGCTTAAACTCGTAAAAGTCCAGGCCCCTGGCGCCGACGTCGACCTTGAACAAAGCACCACCGAACTTCCTCTGCTCTTCGGTGCCCTCGTCGCCCTCGTCCATGCTGGCGCTCGTGCAGTAGAGCTCTGTACCCACAAACTGCGTGCAGGTAATGTTGGGCGTCGGGAGCTTGATCTCGCCAACGACCTTGCCCTCGGGCGAGATCTTGAGGACGTGGCCCTCACCGTACACGGCGTGCCAGAGGTTGCCGTCCGTGTCGACGCGGAAGCCGTCCGGGTGGCCAGGCGTGGGGTGCTTGTAGAAAACACGGTGGTTGGTGTAGCTGCCGTCAGCCACGTCATAATCCCAGGCGTACACGGTGCCCTCTGTAGAATGCGTGTAGTACATGGTCTTGGCATCCGGCGACCAGCCGATTGAGTTGGGGATCGTGAGGCCCTCGATCACCACTTCCTGCTTTTCTTTGCCGTCGAAGCGGTGAAGAGCCCCTAGACAAGACAATCAGCTTCAAACTCAATGCAGAAGCGGGGATGGGATGGCCAGATATGCCTGCAGAATCACATCCGGCCTGATGTTTGTGATAAGTGGCCACATGAGTCGAGGCGCGACAAGCAAGTCATCCCTGGTCCACAGAGAGCAAAAACCGTACGTACCTTCTGGTTGAAAATCACCAAATCCGAAATCTGTCATGCTCCCGACCCAGAAACGTCCGTTGGGATCAATGGCGCCGTCATTTGTGCGAATACGTTCGGGGTTGGCGATGCGCAGCTTGTCAATGTACTCATATTTGCCAGAAGCGCGGTCTAGCACCGCAAGACCGTACTTGAGACCAACGAGAATCTTGTCCTTTGGGTCAACGCCCTCGATGTCAGCTGTCACGGTGACGGCCACATCAAGCTGAAGAGTCTTTAATGAGTCGGGCCCAACGTCAATGTCAATGCTGTGCAGCTTCTTCTGCTTAATGTCCACCCAACGCAGTGTGTTTGTCTGCTTCTCGTAATAGGGACCCTCACCCAGACCACTGTGCAGGTGAAGGTAAGGCTCCTTCACCGTCCATTCCTGAAAAGAAGCCATGGTAGCAAGGTTTGTCTCTGGGAGATCTGATGTGTGACGGCGGGGTTGTCGGGTGGTTAAGATGCGCTGTCTCAAAGAGGGGTTGCAGACGAGGGGTTTATCTGCAACCAGGCCGTCCTGCGAACGGTGCACCTACTATTACTGTGATCTCAGCGGTCCAGTGAACACAGGATGACGTCGGCGTGAGGTTTTGTACGGGAGTTTACCTTTTTCTGACAATTGAAAGATTGAAGCCTGGGTTGGGAAAAAGGTGGGCAAAGTAGCTTGTTTTCTCGTACCATCTGCGAAGACGAGCGACGTGCCGTGACGCATCGGGAGAAGCAACGGAGCTACCGTGTCCATGACATTGCGTGCCTGCATATCCGTGTCGCAGCGATTTCGCAGCCGGGATGCGGGCCTACGGACCGGGCCTTTTATCCTGAACCGAACTTGGAGAGTGTTATCTCGCCCACCGTTCGCCTCAAAGCACTTTGCAAGGGACTGACTCCAAAAGGCGCTCGGATTCGCACATCAAGCCTCAAAGTTTGCATCTCAGCGACAAGTCTAATGTGTTGATGTGTTGGTGTGTTGCCGCAACCTTGGTCTTGTCCTATTTGTTCACGTTAGAAGAAGCTAACAGGATGGGTTTTGGTTGCTTTCCAGTGTGGGCCACTTCACCGTGTGCTTTCAGCAAAGACTCGGTGGAGTAGCTTTGAACAGACAGTAATGCATTCACGTGCTCAGGAGTGCATGCGAGTGTAGCGGAAAATGACTCTGTCGCTGATTTGGGCATGATCCATCTACTTCCTTCTTTCGACTCACATGCCTGATATGTTCAAGTGCCAACAGGAAAGACTCATGTGTTTACTCTCCCTCTCGTTTTGTAATGTTGCTTCTGGTCTCGGTCCGGACAGGGAGGATGTGAACGCACTGTGCCGTGAAAAAGATGACGTCCAAGGGTCCGTTTCACCGTATCAGGTTGGCTCGAGAGTCACAACGCCCCTTGTTGCTGCTCGAGCCGTTTCGCGGTCACTTCTCGAACACATGATCTGTGGGCGATATGTGCTCTTGAATGATACAGATGCATCTGATACCTACGGTTGCACTTGTGCACGGCTCGCCGGCACGGTCTTGACACGCTACAGATGCTATAGTACGTGAACCACATCGCCATGATTGGCGTTGCTTGCTTTGGCCTCCCTCGGCTTGCCGGTTGTAGGATTCTGAGCGGATGGCAGGCCATTGCAAGCATGTCTTCTGAGGCGTTGTTGGGCCGGCCGCCCTATGGGCAAAAGGTTCGGGGACTTTTTACGTGTTTGTTGCAGGTGCTCATCGTCTCTGCACATGGCTTGCATTCGACCTTTCGAACCTTGCTTTGGTCACATACGACCTACAAGGTGGTGTTTGTTGCCGCCGCCACCGCCGTATTCAGGCTCCGATCACAAAACCTTCTGGTGCCCGATTGCAAGCAATTACAATGCAACAGTGTGCTACAACATCGAGTCAGCGCCAGGGGCCGCTGGTCTCCACGATGGAGACTGTCAGTGCTGGAGGCTGCATCCGCCATGCATGCCATACCTACATTGCATAACCCGTCCTTTTAGATCGAACCCCCGTCGTACAGCCACGATCATTTCTTCCGACGCGGTGGTGAATTCGTCGCTGCCATTGACTTCATTGTCGACCAGCAAGGCGTCGGCGTACTGCGTCATACGTAGCCCACGACGGCGGTATTTCGCCTGGTTAGGCTGCTAGGGACGGGCCGGCCTGTGGTCCCCGAAGCCTCAGCACGAACAGAGTAGGTAGGGGGCTGCTTCTGGGGGTGGGACGTTTCGTTGTGTGCGAGACATTGTTTTGTGATCGCTGGAACAACTACCGAGAGGCGCAATGAAAGCTGACTCGGCTGGGCCCAGAGCCCATGCAAATCATAATGTCTCACAGGAGTCTCCTTGCCTGAGGCTAATGGCAATGTCTGACCATAGCAGCCGATAGGTGACTCGGGCCTCCTAATTGCCGACAGACTGATCTGCAGGTCAGCAGTCCCCCGCTGTACATCACTTCTCACAGTCATTCTGTTTGTGGACAGACCACCAGAGGCTTGTCGTCTTCGTCACGTAGAACAAGCCGAGCCACATCTGGAGAACGCTAGTCTTACGAGCGCGAGTTTGCTGCAGATGTCTCAGACTTCGTTTTTTCGTTGGGCTCATTTCGGGATCCTGACAAGGACAACGGTGAGGATCCGCCTGCGGCGACGCCAGGGCATTACAAGGAGCAAGAACTGATTAGTACGAACGGAAGCGCAGCATCTCTCGGGCAGTCCGAATCAGCTAGGATTCATGAATTTGATGTGCCAGCACGATGCGACAAGGAGGGGTCCATTCTTTGCGCAAGCGCCTCGCCTTATATGGCCGAACTATAGCGAGTCGAGGTTATGGGGGCGGGTTCTTCGCGATCTGGCAAGTTGCTGTCTCTAGGGTGTAACGACTGTGGCTAGCTGACTTAAGCGGCCTGCCAGGATGGCGACACGATGCATGGTCTCTCGCGTCTCGCTTGACTCGATCAAACATTGTTTGGGAGATGCCCAGGCCTGGAGCAAATGACATGTTGTAATTTGCGATGCAACCAAATGGCAAGTTTGCAACCTCGATGGCTGGGCCGCAAATTGCCCTCGACCATCATCAGTGGATCAGGTCCCTAGCCAGTCTCCGGGGGCCTGCCAATGGTAGCAAACCTTTTGACGCCCAGAATGGTGTTCATGAGCTACACGAGGCAGACTGACCGAAAGATTTGACTAGTTCTGGAAAGCGCAACACGATGGCGTGGGGCGGCGAGTAGCGGAGGATGGATCGCGGAAATGATGCCTCAGCAAGCAACGACCCTAAGGGACTTTCCCGTCTGCGGCCATGGATGCAGCCTGCACCACCACCGCCACCGATGTTCCACGACAGGACGGGCCGGAAAACATGTGGCATCCGGGACCAAAGTCCCCATTGCGCTCAGCATCCTACGGGTTGGGGGAGGGCAATGGTGACGTGCGTAGCGTCCTTGGTCAGCGTCGTGCAGGCGTGCGTGCACCAGGTGGCGCTTGCGGCGGAAACCAGAAGTAGCGAACGTTCTCTGGAGAGGAAATGAGAAGGAGATTATTGGTTTTCATCCCCATTCACGGCACTGAGCTGAGAGGTAATCAGGACAGGGTATTCGTGGCCCGGTCAGGACACGGTCCTCGATCTCGTGACGAAGTTATGGGTAAAGCCGAACGAGGGGCTGCACAAGATCTGTGCCGCAGGAGACGTGATTGAGAACTTTGCGAGACTCCTGTGCCACTCAACAGAGGTCTCGATACGGGGGTCGTTTGTGATGAAGTGCCTGGATGTGGGGGCAAGGGGGTCACGAGAAGCCGCACCAGTGCTCCTCAATGTCTTGAAAGCAGGCAAGACGAGTGTGGGGGGACACTTAACAGGTGACGTGTGGTGTGACGTGCTTTGTGGCTTGACGATATTGGGTGCCAAAGACATCGTGCCTGGCATTGGCCAACAAGTTGGCTGTGAAGCAGGGAGGAAGGCAACCGACTCTGACGTTCCGGACTGAACCCAACGGCGTACAGGTGACATTCAAGATCGAGAGCAAAAAAGAAGGCCGTGGCTTTCGACTTTGAGCAACCAAGCCGCCTCAGAATTATGGGGCATCGATGGCGGATGGACAGGGACCGACCCAAGACGCATGATCTCTCGTCCACTGCACACCGAGCCAGTTCCCCGGGTTGACAGGGGATCAAAGCTGCTCGTACTGTGTGTTGATGGATTGGTGTTTGGCCTGGCAGACAAGGAGGCCTCGGTGGAACATGTGGTAGGGCGGTGACGGATGGCGTAGGGTCCATGGGAGATCTCCATAGAAAACCCGCCTGGACCTTTGCCAGGGCCGCAGGGGTGTGAGCAGGGTCAGTCACTGACGGTTGCGAAGGAGTTGACTTTTTTTTTTTCTTGTCTGATCCAGAGTGGGCACTGAGCAGGGGACAGGCGCAGGGGAAGGCTTCCGCGGTGCGCCAGCGAACCGCCGCCCCCCAGCACTGAGCTGCTAACGAGTGTGCTGCAGCGTTGAGGACAGGCCAAACCTAATGCTCCTCATGCACGGAGCAGGGATGGCTTGCACATAGTGTTTGCTGCGTGCGGGCGGGTATGGGTGGGCGGCGCGCGGGCGGACTTGAGCACGCGGGTTCTGTGCTTGTCGATGACAGGGTCAGGCCATGGGTCCCTTGGTGCCCAACTTCCGGAAGACACCAAGCGGGTTCCGTTGTGTCGGTCAACGTGGCGGTGATGAGTGACGATCCGATGAGGGATGGGTGATGGCGGCGAGAGGATCAACGCCAATATTGATGAACGGTTCTGTTGGGGACAAGAGTCGGGTGCTTGGGACGAGGGCGTCCTTGGGTGTTAACCTAGGTGCCTTACCTAGCTGGTGTCCAAACACCAGGAACTGGAGTAGACAGGAAAGATAATTGCATCAAGCAAGGCTTCGAAGATTGGAAGTGACGATGCACCAAAAAGGTACTTTCCGGAGTCACGGGAAGTGCCTTCCAACGATAGTTGTGTTGCATGAAACAACAGGAAGGAGCGAGGGATTACCATGTACACGGCATATGCCTTTCATCATGAAGGTGCCTTGGCTACAATACCTGCCTAGTCATGGACCTACCTGACGCGATGAGAAGGAGGTGTGGGTGAAGGTCCAGAAAGAAGGTGCATCCAGTTAGTGCTGAACCCAATGAAAATTAACTGTTTTGCTTTGCCTCGCCTCTCCCATGCCACTTCGCTCGTATCTTGTTTCCATCCTCAGTCGACGACGACTCATTGCAAATTCATTCTTCGTCACATACAGATGGCGTTGCGTTGCTCGGCTCGTCTACTGATATTGTCCTCCACCCACACCACTTTCCTTGCTCGTTTCCTGTTCGTCACCTTTGCCAGAAGCGCATGCACACTCCACACGCACGGCACCACACCTCACACTGCATACCCCTACCACCCGCCCGTCATATCTCACTTTCCATCTTCCAGCCCACGCCCCAGCGGTCTGGAGCCCCATGTCCACTGGTTTCGCCAGGCACTGGCGAAAAGGCTCGAGGATGGGGGTTGTCTCGACCACTATCTGCGAACTGCGTGTTCGTCTACGGTTGGTAAAGCTGGCAGGCGGCGGGTAACGGGGTGAGTTCCCCCAGTGGCCAGGGCCGGGGCTATGCTGTTTAGTCTCGCAGCTTTTTCGTCCCAACTTTTTTTTCCTGCTATGTTTTGGCTATTCATGACGTCTATCTGCTACGAAGCTACGTAGCCCCGGGCCTGAGGGCTCATGTCCTGTCCCCCAACAGCGATCGTCAGGGATCCCAGCTTGACATTGCTGCAAGCCAGTACCTTTGAAGCGTTATGACGGTCGGGCGGCTCGGTCGCAGCCGCTGCAAGGTGAACAATGCGGACGCCCGAGCTGCGCACTCCAAATCCGAACGAACCAAGGGCGAGGCGGACAGGATAGGGCTTGCAACAGACGCTGATCTGGCTCAAGATGGTAGCGACTAGCTTGCCTCCCAAACCACCAGCACATCGATACTTTACTCGGTACAGCGAGAGCAGCATTGCGCCGTGTGGGTACATCGGGGTGCGCCCCAACATTGACCCACGCACAGCCATCCCCCTCCACCAACCTTTTACCCGTTCCTGGAACCTGGCGACGGAACGGGACCTGGGCCTGACGAACTACTCTCACCAGCAGGAGGAACTGGCCACCCCCTGATCCACCCGACAATATCATGCTTTTCACAGGACACTAGGCACACACAGCATACCCTGTTGTGTCGTACCTACCTACCAAGGAAAAACCTCTACCGTAAGAGTCCACGGTCACAGCCATTTCTCACTCTCCATCGCAGCCGTGGGAAGGTTGGGGGTTTGTTGGCTGAGGCTTGGATCCTGGTGCCGAGACTGCCACCGACACCGCAAATTCACCTCTCCTCCACTCATCGGTCGACTAACCTTGTTCTTGCCGTGTCTGACAGGGTTATCATTTCCTTCGGAGCCACCCAAGCAAACATGTTGTCACGCTTGCCGTCGGTGATTCTGCCAGCAAATCACGAGAAGAAGCCCTGACGAAGCTGCCTCTGGCTCAGTTTCTGTACGCCTCGGCTTGGGCCATGGCACACGCCAGACGGCACCAATAAGCAACCGCTCCCAGGTAGGTGGCAGGTGTGGCATACGTACAGTCAGTGTAAGGCTCGCATGCATCAGACTTCCCAGCCTGAGCTTTGCCCTGCTCGGTCTCTGCTCGTCATGATCCGTCAAAACGTGGAGGCCGCAAGTGACCAGGCGTTGCAGATGTCCTCCCCTTGACCCTGGCAGCCCTGGCTCGGCATATTGTAACCTTCCTCGATGATTCACATCCCAAACGGGCCAGCCACCCAGCCAAAACGACTCTCTCAGAAAGAAAGCAAACTGCATCACATACCTGCTACAGCCCCATGGACCAGTAACACCTACCTCGTTCCGCACCCTGGATTCTTCCGTCACCAACCAGATAGGCGGCCGCAGAAAGTCCCGGATGGGACCCTGGGCTCGTCACAAATCCTGCCTGGAGGTGGGATTTCTGGCGTCAGTACCTACGGTTCGCTGAAGCGACCCACCATCCCCTGCTGGTCTTCTCATGCACCCCGGTCAACACGACTGCTCCTCGTCCACTCCGACCCGACTGGTCGTTCTGCATCCCCGTCACTTGCACGTCCGTCCACAACATCCGGGTCATCCCCTGGTGCGCCTAGAGACTTTTGCTTCCCCGGTAGCCTGAACAGGGGGGCCATCGAGGCGTGGGACTGGGAATAGCAACACTGTGCTGAGGCAAATGAGGAAGAAAAGCTAACCCCCCGGACGTGACTACTTTTCGCTTGGGACCCTGCTGTGGTCGTGAAGGGGAGGGGGCCCGACTGACACCGGTGAACAAGAGTATCCTGTGACCGAGCACCCCGTTCAGTCGAGTTCTGTCTGTTTCTCTCTATTATTCTCTTCTCATCAGCTTCCTCCTCGCGTGCAGACTGGCGTTGCTTGACTTCGCAGCGAACTTCTGCCTTGCGCCGACCTCGTCATCAGCCAGTCCACCACCAATTCTGACGGTCGACGACCCCATCACCCAAGGGCTTTTTGGTTTTTCAGGCCAACGGACCACACGCTATTGCCCGCCACGGCCCGACCAAACCCTCTGTATCAGCTGCAGGACGTCGCGAGGCGGACGAACCTTGCCACGACTGACCGCCGTTGGCGACCCATCACCTAGCGCTTCGAGGGGACTTGTCCCGGCCATTCAAGACGCGTAGCTCGCCCACCAAGCGTTGCAGGTCCATTGACGTGCAGAGATCCCACTCGTCCGTCACCGCAACTACCTCGAGATACATTGCCAGCACAAGCGGGTGACCACCAGTCACAGTCTACCCTGGTACAATCCTTGCCTTTGGGTGTCCCCCATCTTGTTCCCTCTTGCTACTTGTCAGGCAACCATCCTGCTGAGTCTATATTCAAGACAAGGTGCTGCTCGCATTACTACAGACAGCCTGAATTCTTGTCTGGTGTTCATCTCTAACCATTTCTCGGCCTGTATCATTTTATCATTTTGAGCAAACCAATATTTGTACATTGGGTCACGGTCCATTCTGGTTCAACAGCGAAGTCCACTTCTTCTTCCATCACTCAACAAAAGCACAGTAGTAGGGACTGTTGGTTTCGGCCCGGTCAGTCCCTCCATCCATACGACAAACTGGCTGTCACATACTCTACGGTTGTCCGCTCCTCGGGACAGCCTCAGCGGGTTCGCGAGGCACGGGACAGTGAACAGCCCGACGACTGTCGGTCTACAGGGTCCAGCAAGTCTGAGGGGACACAGCATCTCCATCACCAGCAGCCGTCCACGTCGCAGCTGTCGCCTCCAGATTCTTCCCATAGCAGTCAATGGTCAGGACATCAACACCAGGAGAGTGTCGGAGAACAGGCCTCAATGTCGCAGGGGGGGCGGCCTTCCTTTCAGCCATCCCGTCTCTCGCTGTCACCGCAGAGCCAGGCTGCCAGTCATGAGCGAGTCGCTGCAATCCGAGACGATGGCCATGATCATACTTCCTCCGACTATTCTCATGGCCCCGGACCAACTCCGGAGGATCGATCTAGGCCTCAGTCCGCGCGATCTCTGGGCATAAGTGGGTTAATCAACTCTTCCGAAACATCATCAACAACCCGACGGCTTCTCGGGCCTTCTGGGTCCCCTCGCATCGCCAACTACAGTCAACAAGGAACGCCTGCTACAACACCGTTGCCTTATGTCTTTTCAGGCCAGAGCCATGCCACACAGGAGCCCGGCACCCCAGCCAGCCAGGCGGGCTTGACTCCTAGCGGCAACACACCCACGGAGCGACACTCGCCAGCGAATGCGTTTCCCTTTCCAGCGATGAACAGACCTCGGCACTTGCTGAGCCCACAGCCATCGGGTCTTGGAGGGATGGGCGCCGCTGGGATCCATCAGACGCAACCCGGAGATCACCAAGTGCCCTTTCAGCACGCTGAAGCCACCACGCGAAGGCAGTTTCGAGGGGACAGAGACAGCGGCGCTCACCACACTAGTTCGATTCCAGGCCTACCATTCACGGGGCCGCACCCTTCTCTGAGCAAGCCTCAGACTGCGTCCTTGACACCGCCGCGCTCCTTATCCCAACCCAGTCTTGGACATTTGCCACAGCCCAGCAGCCAAAGTCGGCATCCTTTTTCTACGCTGCCACAGGAGGCCCACGAACGAACCCATGAGCCACAAACTCAACCGAGCCATCCCTTCGGCTTGCCTCCTCGGACATACTCGACATCCATCCCACCCGGAAGCCCGGTCTGGCCAGGACCTGGACAAGGTACACCGCTTTACAACAGCATCCGCTCTAGTGCTGCCGCGGGTGGGTCTGACGGGCAAGCGATGCTCAGAATGTCGCTCGGGGGTGATGGAGGATCCGTCGATGTTGTCCTTGACAACCGCCAAGCTTCCCGTCAGGCTGATGAGAAGAGACAGCGCAACGCTGGGGCGTCCGCCCGCTTCAGGAAGCGCAAGAAGGACCAGATTGGGGCTCTGGAATCGGAGAATGTGGATCTTAAAAGTCAGATGCAAGTTCTGATGCAAGAAAGGGAGTGGTTCCGCGCTGAAAGGGATCGTCTGCGCAACCTGCTACTTCAGACGCCTCTGGCTGAGCATGCCGCGGGGCCGAATAGCCCAGTCATTGTTGCAGAGTCTGCATATGGCTCGGAAGCAAACCTCTCCAACCAGACAGGCTCAGCGGCGCAGGCACTTCAGGGCTACGGTTCGGGCGACTCATCGGGGGAGAGGCCGGCTCGTAGGCGAAGGACAAGCGCGACCCCAACGTTCACGACTCCAACATACGGAACGCCGAACTCGACGCCGACCAGTCTGCCTCCGATCAACACACCAATGTACAGCGGCATGGCCAACTCTCCCTCGATGAGGCCTGGCGAGAGGCTTCCACCCCTGCGTGCCCGGTGAAGGCCACTTGGGGCCCACGTCTGCGAAATGTACCGAGGACATCGCCGCCTGGCATGGCGCATGCAAGCCATGCCAGGGTCCAACATGAAACAGGCTGGGCAAGCCAATCTTCAGGCCCGCCTGGACCACCCGGCTCTCAAGGCTTCCCGCCGCACCTTGGACGGTGAAGGAAAACAACAGAAATTATACTATCGACAGCAATCGTGTGCATGGAAAAGGTTGAATATCATGCGCAGCAACTTCCTTTGCAATCATTTGAACTATAAGACTGGCATCGTCGGGCGACCGACACTGATTTATCCTCTTTTCTGTCAGCGTTTTCGTCCGGAAATGGAAGTCGTGTTCGTCAACTTTGGGCGTGGAATGGGGGAGGGGCGGGTACGGAGGATCTTGGTCGACTTTTACGACTACGGGCAGACAGCGTCGTCCGGCATGGAGGACCTCTGCGTTGGATCTCACGGTCGAAACAGGCGATGCTCGCCAAAGCAGCACTGCACCCATACTTTCTTTTGTTGTTTTTTCTTGCCTGGCGAAGAAAGAAGGCTGTTGCGTGTGTGTATGTGTGGTTGAGATTTCATTGTAATCCGTGCGCTCTCCAGATACCAGATTGTTTACAGCGGAAAGCCGGTCATATGCCGGTCAGGATACCTATTTGTTTCTTTCGTTGACTTGGCGAAGCACGATGGAGGGGGATAGACGACAGAAGACACATGTCAAGGGGCCACAGCGAGCGAGAGGGCTTTGCAACAGCCCGGTATTTTGGGGGCCGGAATTCTAGGTACATAGCACTAGACAAACGGTGCAGCCTGACGGCAGAGGAAGGGGGTATAGTTACAGGATGCACACGCAAACAGACAAGCAGAACAAGAACCAAGGATCAAGAAACCAGTTGCACGCGGGACGAGGCTGTACTGGCACACTACTTGACAGTACTACACGGGTGTGTCTTCTCGTCGCTTGCGAGCTATTGATGCTGGGTGATGCATGGCAAACAAATGACATGGAAATCAACCAGATGTCCGAGGCCATGTCAGACGGGCGACATGTGCCTCCTGATGAGGCGGCAAGGTTTGGCTGGTTTGCTGGCTTGTTGACTTGCTGGCTTGCTGGCCAGGCCGGGCCTACTGCGCTGGCTAGGTCTGGTCGAGTAAGCATCTGCCACAATGTAAGTCATCCATCCCATTCGATTCTGAAGCAACCAGAATAATGCGAGACGGGGGTGGCAGGGCGCAGATTGCATGGCGGCACGGCATGGTCAAGGCATGGCATGGCATGGCATGGCCACGGCACAACATAGGAGCGCATGCGGATAATCTTTAAGGGAGGGGGGCGGGGAGTCCGTGGGCAGGTAGGTTCAGGCGTGTGTGTGTGTGTGTGTGTATGTGTGTGTATACACATGTACGCGATGTGGTGCAGGACGAGGCAGGGTTGGCCACGTCAGAATCTGATCCTGTGATCGCATGCTGCCTTTTTTGGGAGGGGGGTGGGAGAGGAGAAGAGGCGTATACAGAAGGAGTGGGGTGAGGGGAGGGGGGGCCAAGGTAGAGGCGAGTGTGACGGGCAGCGGGCGGACGGGAGGGAGGAAGGCAAGAGCGGGAGGTAGCAGCTGGTCGCTACAAGTCCTTCCTTTTTCCTTTTCCCGTTCAGGCGCTGAACGAGGAGGTGGTACATGTATGATGGAAGGGGGAAGAGGGTACACTCGACTGAGCCTTTGGTACCGTGCTTTTCAGGGGCTGATGGGCTGAATCGCGACAAGGAGAGGGGCTGAGGAGAGGACTCGCAGGGCGTCGATGGTTGGTTGATAGGCACTATCATGAGTCGCTGGTTGGCCTGGGGGGTCCAGTCAGGGGCGACGGTAACATTTGGGAGACGTCATTTGAGTTACTGTGTATGAGGGGCAGGCACTCTACTGCTGCTGCTGCTGCTGCTGCTGCCGATGCATGCTGCATTGTTTCTTTTCCTCCGTGCTCGTCTCTTGTCTCGCGCGTGTCTTCCGAAGGCCGGAGGGGGGGGGGAAGAGGAGTGCTCGCTCCCGATCTCGATGCTGGCTGTTCACTTTCGCCATCTCGGACTTGCTCTGCATGACTTGAGAGGGGCCGGGGGGGGGGGAGTTCCGGCCGGGTGCGGCTCACGCCTCGGGCACCATCGTGGCCGATGCATGTTGGTGTTGGGCAGACGCTTACGGGTGAGACAGGCGTGGCGGAACAGAAGTGGAAAGTGGAACGCGGCTTGAGAGTTAGCGGCATACAAATCAAATGAA